CCTTCCACCCCCCCCCCCAAAAAAAAAGTACATCACGTATAATAGTTAAACAAACCGCCTAAATGTCACGTTAGTGAAGCCTATATAATGTATAAAGTTTAGTATACTCTAATCCCTTATAGTGATGGCACACGACGAGACACGCATTTGGCACGTTTTGTTGTTTGAATACAAGAAGGGATACAACGCCTCTGTAGCTACAAAGAATATCAAAGAAGTTTATGGAAATGTTTTGAACGTTCGTAAGTGTCAACGATGGTTAAGTTAAAAAAAAAATTGTTCAACCATCAGCTATCGAATATATCTACATGGAGAACTGTGTTCAATACAGACTGGCTGGACAAGAAATTGTATCCAAGGTGGGCCTGTTACTAGTGGTCCAACTAACCATCGATCATTACATATGCCCACAATGTGGACTGTTTTCAATACACACTGGCTGGACAAAAAACTAAATCCAAGGTGGACCTGTTCACAGCATGTTATTAGTGGTCCAACTAACCATCGATCATTAATATGTCCACAGGGAGGACCGTTTTCAATGCACACTGGCTGGACAAGAAACTGAATCCAAGGTGAACCTGTTCACAGCATGTTATTAGTGGTCCATCTAACCATCGATCATTAATATGTCCACAGGGAGGACTGTTTTCAATACACACACTGGCTGGACAAGAAACTAAATCCAAGGTGGACCTGTTCACAGCATGTTATTAGTGGTCCATCTAACCATCGATCATTAATATGTCCACAGGGAGGACTATGCTCAATACAGACCACAGTGGTGGCCTTAGGGTTGTTGGGAGTCTGGCAAGAAAATCACTTGGGGCCCATTAGAGGCTTAATTTTGAGGACCTATAAGCAGGTAGAACACTTGCAATTTCAATTTCTCTTTGCCCTATCCATGAAACTGCAATCAAATTATCTTAATATGATATTGATAATACAAATATTCAGTGTAATTAATTTCTATTACAAGATGAGTGGAGAATATTACATAACTAGCGTATAGCCTCACTCTATAGTTTACCCTAATCTCAAATTTCATAGCTAACTGAAATAAATTTTGCAAAATAATGCTTGACAAACAAAGAGGCAGAAAAGTGCTGTTGAAGCAGTCAACGTAGGTAAATTCCTTTGCGAGCTGATCAAAATTTAGACCAATCATGAAACGAATTCTTGGTGTATTCCGAGAATAATTATTGGTAAAAATTAAAGAATAACTTCTATATATATAGAAAAGCCAGTGCATTTTGGTAACACTACATTCCAACAATGGCTTTTATGTCATGAAGCTTGGCAACAAAATTATAGTCTAATATTGTTGTTAATCTATGTACTGAAAGTATAAAATGAAATGTTTACACAACAAAACTGTAATTATTTAGTCTCTGTTAATTAAAGAAAATAGTTTAATTTAGAAACACTTTAAGTTTAAAATGGAATCAATATTTTTAGTTTCATGATAAATTTTTTGCACTTAACTCTAGGATAGATGATCCCACACTATGTTTCTACTTTAGGCTTATTATACCAACACTCACTACACTTAAAAGGTTTCACGGCACCCCCATCACTAAAATCGTAATGAGTAATCGAACTATTCTATCTGGATAAATGCATTCTGGCTTTCAGTTTTATGACTCCTCCTATTTCGAGAAATCAAGCGTGATGTGACTTGACACACACACACACACACACACACACATACTAGCTTCTATGTGGGTTAGATACATTGCATGGACACAAGTCATAAATACAAATTTGATTGAGAGACATATTATGAATATATGATGGCAGATTTTCTCGCCAAAATAAATTGGAGTCAACGATCAATCCATTGCGCCTACACCTACTTCGATAATCAATATTCATAAGTCGAAGAAAAAATAGAAGACTCCGAGTTTTGTAACATTGAGCTATGTTCTAGGTTCATTGCATCTTCTTTGTTAGCCCATCTACAATACAAATTCTTCACAAGACATAAGATGATAGCCAATGTATTGATGAATCGGTGACATGTTGATACAGACCGATACATTTCCAGTAACTTGATGTAATGCAACTTTTCCTGTCTTCTTTGAAGCAAAGTCCCAACTTAGCTCACTATAATCTAAATCTCTCCAAATTTTATGTTCAGTTGAAATTATTGCTAAGCCAACAAGGTGTCCTTGTGACACAGTAGAGCGCAGATAATTTAATATTATTTTCAACTCTGAAAATTACCTCTCACCAGATGCAACTGTTGTAGGCACAATGAGAATAATGCGAAGTACAACACATAAATTTGGGTAAGTATCTTGAATTTCAGACTTATAAATATATTGAAGGGCTGCCAATGATGTGCATTTTTTAAAAGTTTATTTTTGCATCCCTTTTCCAGGTCATTCAACAAAGTTTTTACTCTTTGCCATCTCAGGCTTGATACGTTTATCCCAGTTTGAGATATAGTGGTGTTGCTAGCTGGTTGTTATAGCTTTGGTTTGAAGTTTCGAATCAGGTGCGATTCCCTTTTCTTTAGTGTCCATTCGTCTGTCTCTGAGTCTATTACTTTGAAGTGTTCAATGTTAGACTTCTTGCTGCAGTCTTTGCTTAGATGGTTGTAAATTTAAGAGTTGTTGAATAGGGCTGTTTTTGTGCATGCTCCTTAACTTTGGTATCTAGGATTCGGATCGTTGACCCAATGTAGCAATGCCTACAGCATGGACACCTGTATTGATACACCACCAGCGATTATTTGAAGGACGTATTTCATCTTTAAAAAGGAAAAAAAAAAGTTACTTATTAATCGTTTGCTCAGTTTCAAGATCACTCTTAGGCTGACTTGGAAATAAGCTGATTGCAGAATGTTCTTGACTCTTCTCTTTAGTTTGATGCCATGAGAACCAGTGAGGGGTAACACCAGGATGATATGACACTTGGGAATGCTGAAGTCTGAAATCTTGGGGTTGTAAACTTTAATAATATATTCAAAATACTTTTGTTGATGAGTGCTGAGAGTAAAGCATTTTAATCTAATATTGATAACTACATCACCAAAATTACAATACGAGCTAGTAAGTGGACATGCTCTATGATTTAGAATATTTATTAAATTAGTTTTGTAAGAATCATGTATGAATGTGCTGAAATGAACAGAAAATGTTGGTTTCTGGTAGTATCTGGTTTCAAACCTGTTGCTGACCTCTAGTTCTAAAAAAGACAATTTAGATTGCTTTTGTTCTTCAACTGTAAACTTGACATTCCTTTATTTAGAATTTAAATAATCTTGAAACTTTTAACATGATTTTGTTCTCTGAATATAATAAAAGGTCATCAGTGTATCTCTCACAAACCAAAGACTTAAATTCGGATGGACAGGACTGTAACCAATTAGTTTTGTGATAAGACAAAATTAAATTAACTAATATGGGAGCAAGTGGTGAACCCATGTCCACACTGTCAACTCGATCATGTCTTATTATTAAACACAAAATGAGATTCTAGGGTCGTAACTCCCAAGTAGTTTCGTAAATTGATTTTTCGTTAACCCATTAAACAGATGTGGTTACTTCATCAAGCAGAATGTTAGTACATAAGGACTCAATATCAAAACTAATGATCAAATTATCTATACAGCTTGATCATAGATATGACGAAATTAGAAAAAACAAAGGAATATTTGACGGAAAAGTCATTCTTTGTAACTGGAAGTAATGACATATTTAAGAAACTAGGTAATTTATAACTGTGTGTTTCTATGTTAGATACAACAGGTCATCATCACTCATTTTTGCCAAAGATTTAACATCAAATACGAACTCATATTTGTCCTTAAACTGCACCATTTGCCAAATCTTTCATCTAGGTGAACAATTGTTTCATCCACCATACTGTTAAAAAATTCAATGCAAAATTTGTCATTTGGATCAATTATGGGTTCACCTGATCCTTCACCTGGAAATGTCTATGCTTCTTTCTCACGCGCTGCTCTGGAAATTTTATCTCGATAAGATCATCTGTTGCCTTTTGAAAAAAATCATCTCTGTATTCAGTCATATAATATGGATACCTTTCAACAATGTCAATGCAATATCTTGCTGCATATCCATATTTTGCATTTGCTTGCTTACTATATTTACTTGTGACAGGACGTAATATCAGGTCACTGTGCAAATGAATGGGAATGATCGTAGCTCAGCCAGAAGACTATTGGCTTCAGCACAAGTTACACTGTCAAGGTCAGGGATTTTCAATAATTCCCATCTCTCGACTCCCTATAACCAAAAATCTGGGGATGACAACACTGTAACTGATGAAGTGATTAGAATTATACAACTCAGTTTGGCACCTTTCGAATCCTTATGACTAACAATCTGGTGATGACAACACTCTGCAACTCACGAAAATTACACTAACTTAGTTTGCTGTCTCTCAATTTCCTATGACCAAAAATTCTCCAAACAATTTGTTCAAATAGATAACTGTTATATATATCTTTTCTTATCTCTACAAGAGTTTTCAATAGCTGACACTACAGAAAAAAATAAAGTTACCAGTAGGATATTACCAATAAATTTTAACTTTTAAATCTGTTCATTATTACTTGAACTTCGTATTTCAATAACTGAGACTGTCTAACTACCAGTGTATGCTAGTAGATTGTACAACTGGAAGAGATGGAAGGCAGAAAGTAAAATAAATATGAAGACTTGATGATACACGAATTTACAAAATGTTTTCAAGGTTAAAATTTTAACTTATTTTTAATAATCATCTTTAAAAGTACGAGTGAGATGAGTTATTTCTTTAAAGTTTATATATATATTTAATATTATAAAAAAAAACGTCTGCACAATATCAGTTCTTTCAAGAATTTATTAAATATATATTTTCCACATTAAAGGAATGTAACAGAATGTGAACTTCTTAAAGCAGGAGTCCTGGCATGACCTGGTGGTTAAGGTTGTTCAATTCACAAACTGTGGGTCATTATAATAAGACAGTCAATCACACTGATTGATGGTAAAGAGTAGTCCGCTGGGTGTTGCCATCTGGTTGCTAGATCAAAATAGTGGTAGCTAGCTTTAATGCTTTGCAGGTTCATATTTTTATTTCTACCCAATACACACTATATTTTCACCATAGCCACTTGGACTTAAACAATTGTAATTTTTCAACAGTTCTGTAATCAATTGGTGACAAATTAAATTTCATAAACACTAAATGCAGTGTTGTAAAAAAAAAGTTACACTATAGTGTCTTTGCAAGTTCTTAAATCATTTAATATTTCTGGAAATTGTTAAGATTCCACCAAAAGTGATGAGTTAATTTTAAATTAATAATATTCTGTGTATTCCTTAAGAAATCATGAAGTTTCCATCAAAAGTTATTACTTTACTTATCTATGGGTACTTTAATTAATAGCATTCTGTGTATTCCTTATGAAAATTATTTCAAAAGTATTAACATCACCTCTGCACGTCGACCGAGAAAACAAAATAATATTTTTTTTTTTTTTACAGTTTGTAAGGTTAAAACAAACATAAATGTTCAATAATAGAGTGGGTTATGAGTAACCCAGTGTGCTGTGGGCTTGTTCAGAGCATTTCTGTGAGATGTGAAGAGAGACTTGAATGCTTCACTAGCATGGGGATCTTTTGCAATGCTGTATTTACTCTGTGCCTTGTCAGGTATAGTCAGCTTTGTAGAAGTCCCCGCTGAGGATGAGTTTGATGTTTTACTGGTACCTGAACCAGCCACCTTGCAGTTCTTTGTATCGCCTGAACATTATTGAATAAAAACTGTATTAGTTTAGAGTTTCATTTGAAAGAGAACAGAATTTAGGCTAACTTAAATGTCATTTTCTTAAAATATCCAGACAAAAAAACAGCTTAAAAATATAACTTAAAAGAAACATCTAGAATACGTGCTTTCACTTGGAGAGTCAAGTTTTATATCAATTTAAAGTAATCACTTCAGACTGTAACATCTAGTGAATTGTGTAACCACTGGGGGTTATGATACCCCACAAAGGAGATTGTTGCTCAGTATGCATACAAAATGTATTTCTTTGTAAATATATATATATATATATAATATTGCACACACTAATCACAGCTTTCTTTGTAAATACATAATTCTGCCTAAGACAGTTAAATGTGCACATAGAACCCTTAAAATGATTTCTTGCATGAAAAAGAAAAGAACTTATTTGGTTAAACTGTTGCCAAACAGAATGGTAGCACCTTTGCTTTGACAATGAGTCAAAGTTTCTGGTAAGATTTGAAAACATAAGATGAGCATGGTTTTGTTAAAAACAAAAAATCTATAAAAAAAAAAACTTGCCTCTTATTGGTTTATTCCTTTGCAGGAAGTATTTAAAACTTAAAAGCATAAGGGGGAGATGGAGGGTGCACAAAAAACAAAGTAAGTTTTCTAGAATAATTATAAATAAACTGATAAAATGGTATATCTAGCCTAACTGAACAGTCACAACCATAACAAAATTTGGTCTGCAGTTTAACTGTAATCATGAGTTATTAACCTGAATGCATAGTCTCACAAAGGAAAGAAAATCCACGACCATAATGTCCAAAAGTTTCTAAACAGCCAAAGCAACGTCTAAAACACTGTAATATTATTTCTAGGTTAATATAAATCTTGATAATGAGCATTTCACTTTATAAGATTGCTACAGATGGGAAAGATTTAAAAGAAAACTTAATAAAAGTAAAGGGTAGACAATACTTCAAGCAAACATATGAGTGACATGATACAATGTAAAATAATAATTAAATTTTGAGTTCAAAGTTATCCAGATAAGGTCTTTCAAAGGACATCAAGACTTTATATAGTTGACAGATGCTCGACATGGTCCATTTTTAACCCAATGCAACAACAATGGTGTTAGTTTGTGTCATACAATGTAATATGCGAACACGATTGTATGTCAGCAAAATAAATAGCTAGAAGCTCAATACTTTAATATGATTAGTTTGTAATGAGACAACTAAACTATTCACTGCATAATTTTATTGAAATAAAAATATATTTAGGAGTTTTTTTTTATCACTTTTAATTACTATTTTGCACAAGGAAAACCTCCATAAAAAAACTAACTGTATCTTACCATTAGGGTTCCCTTTTTTGTCATCTTTTGGTGGACATGATTCACCATTCTCTGTCTTTTGTTTCTTTTCAACTGCATCAGTTGTGTTTCCTTCCTTTATTTTATGTTTCTTGGATTTCTGAAAATAAAAATGTCAAAAGTTATGTTGATTTAAACTAAATTTCTGGTATAGTGGCTAAGATATATTACCTGTATGGCCATTTATATTATCAACTGTTTTGGGGATACAAGATCTATTACTAACATCAGGTTGAGCCTTCGTTGACTTGGAATACTTGCCTGTAACCTTCAGCCAATAGTGACAATAAGTTCCCGGTATATTGCTTGTGGAATAGCCCAGTGTTTGAATCTAGAACATCCCAAGAATTCAAATCATGATGGTACTGAAAATCAGTCTGTAACAATGTGGCAAGAAGCAACTAGACAAACTTCTGGGTAAGTTCTGTTGTGCAAGAATGTTGGTTCTGCACAACTACCCCAATGGGTTTTCTTAGGATCCTGGTAGCACTTCCCTAGATCAACATATTGTTAGGGAAGGTTGTGAACGTAATTCTAACCTTTCTATCATGTAATCACATCCTGCACAGCATATCCACAATTGGTACTATCAGGTGCCAGACTTTCCTGACAAATGGCACCCAACCACTGTTGCTTTTTATCACTATGTTAGCTCTAATCATTTAAATGTTGTACTGCTAACCATTTCCCAGAAATGTGTGATAGGTTTTTATACTCTTCAGATAAGTTACCACATGAGACTATCGAGCATACTTACATAGCTGCACTACCATGTCTGGCATTTGAACACAGATGACTGTACACTTGTGTCCATGTGTATACACACATATGTAAAAATACATTTTTATCATTGATGTACGTGTCTACAAAACAATATAAAATAACATTTATACAATTAATTCTAACTTCAAATATTAATTCTTTAGAGGATGCTAGTATGCAAGACTTTAATATAAAAACTAGTGATATTCATAATAAAACTTTGAGTATATCTGGGTTGAAAAGGCTGACTTTAGGCAACTGGGCTTGGCTCATTTACCCAGATTTGCTTAAAAGATTAAAATTCTTGATAATGGAGAAGGTAGTGTTACTATAACTATAGAGGTGGGTGTAGAGTTCATAGCATATCTAACAAATTACAATCTCATGTATTATTATAACTTTAAATAAAGGAGGATGAAAGTTGGGTGATATTTTTTGATAGATATTGATGAAATCAGATTTCTATTTTTATATCTTTAGGGGTAACTGTCATGCCAACTACTGATGGTGAGTGGGTGTGGGATGTTGTGAGCTCTATTACCAAGATATCCTAATCCATTATTGAATCTGTAGTTTATTTTCTAGTGTTGCATCTGTTGTTTTGATTATGTCTGATAAACATAATATTCCTAATGCTATTAAATGTGTTACGGCAGGAAATGTTCTCACTTATACGTTTGTATAAATGGTATCATTTACATTGTGTTGATACAGTTTTGTTGGTGTGTACACCTATAATGAAAATGTTGAATGTTTGCATGAAAATCTCATTAGGACTGTGCAGTTCTGAGTAATCATTTGTACACCTTTGATGTAATATAAATAAAAATAACAATATATATACCCACTATGCTATATGATACACATTTTTCAGGACTTTTCGTAAATAATTAATTTAAGACAAACAACATTTTAACAGAATTATATTTGTTTTCACCAGATTTGGAGAGAACTGACTTAACTGAATGTCTTGACAGTTAGTTAAGTGAACCCCCTGTTCGCAGACTCAGTCATATTGACTGATCCCATATCTGTGAAGCTATACATAATAATGTTTACTATAATTCTGAATTTATTAAGTGTCTCTTCAGGAAATTTGGCAAACTTTTAGTAAACATTATAAGTCTGTTGTACACAAAAAAATCAGATTTTTTGATAAAGTGTTTTCACTAAAGATTAGTCTGTGAATTTATGAAGCCTTTAATGAGTCAGTCTAAGTGAAATGTGATTTTCATGACAAGAATAAAAATACTTATTTTCATCTTATAGTTTCAGATTTCATTTGCATGTTATATTTTATCATTTACTTTCTCAACACTAACTGTGGTGAAATCATCACAGTGATTTTATGGTTTTACTGCTGCACTTTGTATGACTAGACCAATAATCCTAGCATCAAAACAATAAATCACAATGAAAGCCCATTAGCAATTTCTTATAGAACCTACATAAACACCATGTAATTGTGAGGTGTCACATTACACAGATTTAGGTTGTGTAATATCAGACATTCAATTTACTCAGTTTTGTTAGGCTAAGCTGAGAAGTTTATAACCTTAGTTACTTTTGTTAAAAAATTTTAACTCTAAATAAAAAAAATAATATACATAATAAAACAGGATTTATAGTACTCACTGTTTACCCGAGCACTTAGCACCCAAGCAAATGTTCCCCCATTTTTCTTGTTGACTCTCACAAATTTGGGTGTCCAAAAAAGAATTTATGTAGTTTTCAAATATGCATTTTATAAGTAAGCTACAGATCCTTTTATATGTTTCAGAGTATTTAACTAATTAGAAACTATACTGTAGACATTGATAAGCCAGAAATATAAAATTTGAATGTCCAATCTTTTTGCTTCACTGAAATATCACAATTTTTGACACCCACTCCTGTCTTTTTTTTGTATATAAAAACAAAACTATAATCCTCTCTGACATTGCTATTTAACATATTTATAACCAAGAGAGAGAGTAGTTTCTGAATCACATGAATCTCATCATTGTTTATTTTGTTTTCTCACTCAAAGCCAATAACTGACAAGAAAATCAAGAAATTTATTGACTAAAGCCGTTGCTCCAAGAAATAATGGAATTTTTTAAAATCTATTTATAGATAAGATAGAAATTCATTTAAATTACAGTGGTTTTGGGGACATTCTGTTCTAGTGTCTGATATATATTTTGTGTTATAAAATGCATATTTGAAAACAACATTATTACTTTCATGAACAACCAGCATGGTGTGAAAAAAGTAGCCTTATTGAAAGTATGTTCTTGGGTACAAACAGACTTATTTACATTATATTTTGTATTTTTGGATATTTTATTGCATTGTTTTTCATTACATTTCATGTTAGAGAAAAGAGATACAGTAAAAGTCTTAGAGATTATGCAATAAAAATATGAAACTGCAAAATGAAAAGAATTATTTTTATTCTTTGCACGAAAACTTTTCACTCAGACTGCTTCATTAAAGGCTTTGTAGGTTCGCAGAAAAATCTCTAGTACAACAGACTTAACATTTAATAAAAGCTTAACAAATCTGGTAAAGATACACTTAGTGTTTAGTTTCATGGTGATTACAAGACCAGTTGAAATGACCGAGCTCATATACTGATAGATGAAACGATTACTTAACTTAGGGTGGAAAAAAAAAAGAAAGAAAATATTGGTTAAAATGAGCAGCAAACAACCTACAGGACCTTTCATTCTGAAGCCAACTACTAGGCTTAACACTCTCCACATGGGCTCAGTCAATTTGACCAACCATGTGACTTTTTTGTACTCGTATAATCTTCATAGATTTGATACTACTAAGTTTTAATACAGTATGTATATCTTCATGAAATTTGGCAGTCTTTCAGTTGACATTACAAGTATTTCACATACAAAAAATCATATTTCTAATAAACTAAAAAAAAGATTTGTCTTTGAATATATCAATAGTTTTGAATAGTCCATGTGCAAAGTGATTTTCATGTTAAGATTAAAAATACTTTTCTTCATCTCAAATTTCATTTGTATAATCTCTAAAACCTCCTAAATACATATCAAATGTTTGTTTTCAGTAAAACTTTATATTTTGTCTGTTATTATAAGTTATAAATCACTTGGTGAATGTGCAACTCGTGTTATGCTATCAAATTACATTACCCACAAGCTACTCTGAGCTGCTCCAGAGTAGCTCGCATGCTTACCTTGTGAAATATTTTTATTATAATATTATTATTAATGTTTATTTTACCTAATCTAACCTTAACTAACCTAAAGAGTTCTCTATTTTTACATCTTAGTTACTTTTATAATAATATATAAAGAAAAATATGAAAAACAAGAAATAAAGTACTTACCCAATCTTTTTTCTTTCTTACTCTCAATTGTCGAGGACAGTTAAGCCTAATTTTTTATAGTAATGCACTTAATTTTTATTTAATTAAATAATGCACCAAAGAATATAGACTAATAACATGTAAAAAGTAGACAAATTTCTTTACCTCTCAAAATGTGTCTGACTTTCTATCTATGTGACAAGAACTGTTAAAAATGTGTTCAAGCTAGTCGTTGTGACTCCTTTGGGAACCAAAGTTGTATTACAAGTGAAATTGACTATTCTGTGTTCAGAACACAACGTAATAAGATACTCCATTTGATAGAT